CGAGGCAGCGTCCACGGTAGCCGGTGGTGGCCAGAAGCGTGCAGCCCAGAGCCCATAAATTTTCCTCGGAGATCGTGAACGCACTAAACGCCGAGCCGTGGAGCTGCCTCGGAGTAACAAGCGACGCGAGCCGACCTCTCGACCGGGCAGTCGTCAGGATGTTCTGGCTGGCCAGCAGCAACAGGAACAGCAGCCGGTAGCTTCGTTGCCGGGCCTGGTCGCGATCCTCAGCCCTTGGAGGCGGAAGAAGCGCGGCCGTTTCAAGGAAACGCGGCCGTCGACGATGTCTATACGCGTGAGTGGCGTATACCTGGTGCCTAGCCCGGCAGCCAATGAGCCCGGTAACGAGAAACCAAGTAACCTGTCGGTGGAGAATAACCTGCACCAGCAGCACCATCACCATCACGCCGCGAAGACCGTCACGATCGTCGCGGGGCCACAGAGGAGCAACAGCCTTGATTATCTGAACTTCGAGGAGAAACGACAGATCATCGCCTCCTCGTTGTCGCTCAGTGATTTCTTGGCTCATGGGCCGGCAGCGGCCGCAGCTGCCGCTAAGGAGGTCGCCGCCAACACGGTTATAGGTGAGTTTTTGCGAATTCTTTTGATATCTTCGAAAGGGGAGGATTTTTTCCTTCGAATTCAAGCGAGGATGCTGAACGATTTTTCTGAGGTTGTTTCTATTTAGAGGAATTTGTTTCTTTAGTTGACCAACTGAATAGTTAGTTACTTTACTATATAATTTATATTTACTATAATAATAGTTAGTTTACTAACTATATTTGACACTTGGTACGGAAATTGGGTCAGTTTCACCCAAAATCAAGTCACAAATTCTGTTTCCTTTGTTATTGAATGTACCATTACGGCTGAAATTTCGTTTAATTTCAGCTGAATATCTGATGAACATTAACCCCTTGAACTATGATTTCTTTTCTGACTACGCATCTAAGCGTCAGCCATTTTCTGCTTTAGTACTGTATCAGGTAACAAAAACTAATCTTGTCACAGATTAATTACATTTAGCAATCTTCAGTCCTACAAATTTAAACGAAAATTAGGATTACTGTTCATTTTTCTTACTAATGCAACTATTTTTCTCACATCGTCGCCAGAATCTATGCCACGAGTCTGACACGTTGTCATATGTTAAGGGGTTAATAATGTTTACAGAAGAGAGACAAATTTGTACGATTTTTTTTAATAGAAACTAATTATATTTTCCTGTAAATTCACAAATTTCGTACAAGGGTTAAAATTACAAGGAAAATAAAAAAGGTTTATAAACGGTATGCAGAAAAAATTGTTTTCCAAAGAAATGTTGTAGAGGTCGACTGTGCAAGAGTGTCGTGTAAGCACTCGTTGAAGAAGAAGACTGGGTTATGGTAATGCTGGTTAAGCTGTATTACAGGAGAGAAATATTTGTTTTATGATAATATGTACATTTAGTCAGCCCTTGAGGGCTAAAACCGTGAATCGCATTATCTTGGACTGTTAAACACCGATACAACTGATTTAGGGTATTTACGTGGGATTTAAGGTTAGGTAGGGAAACTTGTGAATGATTTAATTAACCCTAAGGATGTTTAGGGTTGCTGTTACGCTTGAGCAACTCCACAGATGTTCTAGAATGCTCTAAAAGCCTACTAAATTCATTTTTATTCTGTCCTACGTAAATTTTGCAATTTCTGCAAAGGGGGACGTTTGGTAAATATTTTCTAATAAGAACAGTTTTAGCGAAGCTTCTTTTTTGTATCGAATTTTCAGATTTAAGCACACAGAAAATAAAATAAAGCATTCTCCTAGATACAGTACCTTCGTATTAATCAATCTAAATAAAGGAACAACAATCTTAATTACTCAATTTCCATTGAAACGCTACTTTTCATAAAACCCTTTGAACTCAAAATTTCTTTTAATTTTCTTTTCAATAACTCCCTGCTACTTTAAGAATTTTATTTGAAATGCACTTCAAAAGGATAGGAACCAATTTAAACAATTTTTTTTACTAATTATATTGATCATATGTTTGTGTGCCTATTGCTCATCCAGGTAAAAAAAATATTGCAAAATATAGTGCATATTTGAACTGGCAATTTAAAAATTACTTCATTCGTACCTGCGAATAAAACTGATGTCGTCACACTCGACGAAGGAGTTCGAAGGGTTAATAGCTCCTTCTTGGTACTGGACCGCTCAATTCACCCTGAAATCCACAAACGTGTTAAATAAGAAAAATTACAAATTACAAACCTTCGGAAGCTCGCAGCTAGTAGGAAAAATCAGCTGGAGATAGGAATTTTCCACGAGCAACTGGCAACCCGAATTACACACTCGGTAGTCAGAAGAAACGCACTTGGACCGGTCTATTCAGCCATTAGCCGTGTTCAATCGGTCATTACCCGGATACCCACTTTTCAAGACCCCCAGCCTCTCGCACAAAGGAACAATGGCCTGTAGCCAGGGTGCTCCTAGGCTTCTACCTAGGCCTTCTACCTGCCTTCTAGCTACCTTCGAGTGTCTCTCGATCGCGATCAGGTGACTCGATCGTGGCCGATTCCATCGTCGTGGTCTCTCTCTCTCTCTCTGCTACCTACCATTGTCGTGGCGCATCGTGGTTCCCGTGAACGAGCATTTTTTCCTTCTTTTTTCTTACGAGGCGACGCAGCTGCGCACCGATTACCGTTTCTCTACGTGAATCGTGTGTGGAACTCCCCGCGAACGAGCATCGCCACTCCTGGTAGAATTAGCGGCGAGAGAAAAAGAGAGTCGAAAGGGGGGCACAGCCGTGTAGAAAGAACCACGGGAAATGAGTGTCCCGAGGAATGGGAGAGCCTGAAGACGCTTAAAAGCCGCGAGGAGAGAGAACGATCGCGAGAGGTTCGATTGCCCTGTGAGTCAAGGAACTCGAGGGAGAGAGAGTCGAGTTCCTAAGCCTGTAAACAAACCCTACGACTCCCAACACTTGCTTTTTTCTTTCTCTCCTATTTGTTTTTTTCTCCTGTCCTCTTCCGGATGCTCCCTCTGGCGCTATCTCGTCGGGTCGTCGGTCGTTCCGCGCGGAAGGGACAAAAGAAGGCGGGACAGGGTGAGAGAGAAGGAAGCTAGCTTTGTGGAGACTCGCGTGTGTTAGAAAAGTGGAAATATCAAGGTTTATAGTAATTGTAGGCTCTAAGCTTGCAGTTTTATTTTTAACTCCTTTTCTCTACGGTGTACACTCGAGACTAATGATGGTACGAGGTCCTCGAACGCGCGTTCCTTAGTCCCTTTCCTTTTAACGGGAACGGCAAGCGCGAAGGGAGCTTTGTTATCGCGCTCCCACGAAAAGTCCCTGCCATTGTCGCGGCCGCCTTTTTGTTTTTCCGCGACGCTCGCGGCGCTGATAGATCGTTAGGGCTTCTGTTGTCTATGATCGCTCGCGGTCGGTTATGCCTTTGTGCCTGTACTCTCCCCTGGGGAATTAGTATTCCTCGTAAGGCGCGAATAGAGTGTGGCTGGTTTATCGAATTGTTCGAGATCCTGTGTTTGATTTTCCTTCCGCGAAACCCCAATGACGTTACTCAGCGGCTTTTTCTTTTCTTTCTTTGTGCTTGTGGACGAAAATATTTTTGTTTGCTCAAGGGAGAACGTTCTTCTGGTGTGATGTATTGTAGATTCACTCGCGTTGGGGATTTGGGACATTTCGCAATCGTTCGGGATAAAATGTGATCTGTTTTTTTTTTTCAATTTTCTTTCTTGATTTTGGATTTGTGATTCTACGCTCCAGAGGCAAGCTTATTTTTTCACAGTTTTCGCTAATTAGGTGTGCTTACACGTCCAATTTTTTTTACCGTTCTGGGAAACTTATCGAAATTTCTAGTTTATTATACAATTGTTTAGAAGCTTCTTCGGATAATACGGAAGATTCGATGGGCTTTTATAAATAGTGCAATAAAACCGTAAAAAACATTTTGATAATATAAAATTGCATATGCGTTTAACTTTAATTAACTATTTATGAATTAAATAATAATAATATTGTGCATGTGTTTAGTATTTATTAAATAGTTAATTAAACTTAAATACATGTACAATATTACATTATCAAAGTGTTCTTTTACGATTTTATTGCACGATTTATAAACACCCATCGACTCTAAAAAAAAAAGAACGTAATTTTTTAATTTTATTTAACAGGTTAAGCGCGGCGTTGATCCCTAGAGACCGACAGTAAACTTTCCATTCAGAAAATTGTAATTGATGTAATATAAGAAGATATGTGTACGCTTCTTTAACGAATTTAATTAAAACATTCTAAACGAAGATACGGTTTCGCTTTACACGTATTGTTATACAAAAAGTGACGACTTTTTCGGTTAAACTTCTGGCTGTTAACATTCAGAACAGCATCTTCGAACTTTATGTCCTTACCTTCTTTCTTTACAATCGATGGAACACCTCTTCCATCTACCTGGCTTGGAATTTCTTCATCTGAATGCTGTGTGCGCGCAGCAGCTGCTAATTCTCTGCGAAATGCCGTGATTGACATTTTTCTTCCGGTTACGCCTTGGAACATAAGAAAGGCATTCACAACAGCGGTATTCGACAAAAGCTCGAAAGCCAACTTCCTGTACTATTTTAGTGTCTTTCGTAAGGGGCTGCTATACGCGCTCATCTGATCAGAAAGATCCACTGCGGTTTTTCCTCTATTGTACCTATTCAACGACCATTTTAGATTTGCGACAAAACCCTCCTTTTGTCTTTACATTTACCGTCTCGATAGAATTTCTGTAGAAAGGACCAAAACGTCTCTTTTACCTTTCCATTTCAAGACTGTTATTCCATAATTTTCTTTGGCAATAACTTGCCCACGTTACGATTTAATTCTCACCACTTCGTTTGGATTTCCTTTACGAGTTCATCGAAGTTCATCGGAGAATTGCCATCTTCGGATGATTGCAATCGCTTTACTAGACGACTATCGCTATCTCCTTCGCCTCTCAATATTTTCAGTATTACAGGCAACAAATCCCTTTGAAAATAATCGCTGTGAAAATTACTCAACTTTGCAAAACGCGGCTTCAGTTTGAAAGAATTTACAAACACATAATTAACAGAGGAAAAACCGTGAAACGGCAGAACGTCTACATTCTAATTCTTGTAACATGTAAACAGAACTTTAAATTTAGTGTAATCAGAAAAAATATATAATACGTATATAAAACGTTGAATAAATCCTTAATTCGTATAAAAACATTTATTTAAAATAATAATTTCACCTTCACTATGGCCATTTTTAACACTAAAACTACCGACCGGGTCAAAATGACCCATTAGCATCTTTCGAAAAAACGTGAATGTTCTATGTTGGTAAGTATTATCGCCTGTAACTTTCCGAATTTATATTCTACACGTATGCTCCCGTTTGTATCGGTATGAATCGAATTTTCCAATCACGGTTTACTTACAGAAAAATTCACTTTTGGAAAGTCGCTAATGGGTCATTTTGACCCGGTCGGTAGTTTCAGTGTTAATCTACGACCAAGGGTCAACCTGATTTTTAATCCTTCGAACTTCATTTCACAACGACAAAGTAATAAGATCA